GAGGGTCTTCCAGCTTATGAGGCCGCCGCGTCCCTCATAGGACCACTCCAGGGGCTCGTCCTCGGCATCTTTTGTTATAGCCGCGAGAGCCACCTTCCAGTCTATCGAGGTCAAGTTTTTGACGTAGGAGTCAACGATTACGACGTCGGCGTTGGAGCCTCCTTGAGTCCATCCTTTGCAGAGAGACATGCGGCAGTCTGGCAGCCAGCCTTCGTGCTTGTAGATGTCGAGCATGGAGTTTACCATTTGTGCCTGAGCTGCCGGGTCAATAACGGTAAGCAGGGGGTGCTGCGCACGAAAGCTGTCCCACATGCTGCACATCGTTAGAAGAAGGAGACATGGAGAGATGGAATGGATGCTTACCAGTAAAACGAATCAAAGTAAGGGATCCCGCTATCCCAATGCGGATTCTCGCCGGTATAATTCTGAGGAGAAATCATGTTACGGTATAAGCCGCTCCAGAAACTCTTTTGCAAGTCTTCCGTTGCGCCAGCTGCCTTGACTGAAACGGGGCTCAGTTTCTCTCTCCAGGCGTCCTTTGCTGCCTTCACCAGCGAATCAAAGTTGTTCAGCGGATCCGGAATCTCCTTCTCTGCGTTGCGGCATGCCTGATCACTGCTCTTGAACGAGACTCCCACCCTGGCAGTGACAGTGTCGTTGGTCAGCTCTTTGAAGCGCACGAAGCCGCCACCCTCGAGATAAAATAAGTTGAAGCCTCTGGTGACGAATAACTCCTTGGGCTCGTTACCGGCTCTATTGTTGACCCATACCCCAGTATCAAAGACCTGGGCGCCAAAGAAGTCGACGCAGTAGTGAAGCACGTACGACCCAGCACCGAAGCTAGGCAGGAATGTCCCGTTTCCAAACATTCGCCCTGTGGGCGTATCGACCTTGATCGACGCGTTTTGCCTGCTCGCCCAAAGATCCGTCAAGTCCAATAGCACGAGCGGATGCTCGCTTCCGCCACTCGGGAACTTGAACCGCATGAGCGCCGCGTGCTCAGATACCGTCATGTCCGCCTTCACGCCCGACGACAGCTCGACGGAGAAGTATCCCGGCTCGGCGACGGTCTTGTTCACATCATGCTGCGTCGCCCGGTCCCCGATGCGGAATCTACAGTTATTAAGCTCGTCGCCGGGGCAGATCTGCGGGAAGAGCGGGAAGTTGCCCAAGCTAGGGTTTCCGCCGGTGCCGCTGTCGTGGACGATACTGAAGCCGGTGATGTTGCTCCCGTCGGTCGAGTAACCGCCCGTCTTCTCCCCGTCGACATCGGCTACGGCCTTGGCGAGGCCGTATGGTAGTGTCGCACCGGCGAATACGTTCCCGCCGCGCTGGGAACCGATTAAGGGGTCCACGAAGGCTAATGGATCGAACGATTGGCAACATCCCGCCACTGCGAAGGCAATGAGCAGTACGAGGAAGCGCATGGTTTACATGCGATGAGAGCACGCTGGAAGTAAATGGACAAAATGCTTTCAGAACGGCATTCGACGCTCAAGTAGTACGCTCGAGCAGGAGAGTCTGATTATTGAGTATTGTCCGTGTAAGCAGAGCTCACACCAAATCCCGAAGCTACGCAGTTCGTGTCAGAGTTGAATTTGGACCACCGACCGAGTCTCCGAAGAGCTCATTTTCATTTAATTCCATCGTCTTGCCTCATGCATGATGACCGGACGGCAATCCCGGCCGCAGCATCGTCCGACTTGATTAGCAAAGTTTAGTTCATGACCCCGCACAAGAGCTCTATGCGGTAGGTGGTACTAGGTTCGACGATCCTGCGTGGAAGATCACGGGAATAAAATGAACGTTACATAGAGTGGTTAGCTCCATTGCATCGTTTGGATCAAGCCAGAATATGGGCACGGCTCTCGGGGGCTAAATGGATGAGATACGGCACAATTGACCAAGCCCTTCTTTTCAATCTCCATGCTACGCATGCTTGCTTGGTTGTTTCTCTGCTAGACGTCAAATGGAGCGCCGTACATCGCGTTGATTGGTTTCGTAAATTCTTCATAATTGGGTCCGTCCGGGATAGTAGGCGGCACTTGTTCGATGAGTTGATACAGTCGAAAGCCTACGAAGGGTTGGGACCGAAGTCTTACATATCTAAGCGATATCAGAGAGAACGACAAGTATAGAGGAGGACAGGCTCGCAAGGCAAACCAGGAAAGTGAGGACTAATATATCACTAGGGTGAAATGAAACTGGGTGCTTCTGTTGCATCCTCATAATCCCAGGTCTGAAAGATGGTAAAATACGCGAGGTTTTTATAGAATGTTTCCGGAAACCATTTTGTTTGAAGCTACGGAGTGATCTTCCTGAGGATCCGCACACTGTGAGGCCCCTAGCTCGTGTCAGTTACAGGGATAGCACGGCCCCGGACACTCCTGTCTGGATCCCGTTTATGTCTCGTTCGCAGCTTCTGGCAGCTTTCTCTCATCCCTCTCTACGTTTTGTAAGTGGTTCATTATTACTCAGTCGACGTAGTCAGACTGACAATATGACAATGGCTTTACATAAGTTTACAAGCTCACACGAGAGTGAAAAAATCGTCCGAACACTGGGCTCCTCAACATCAGACGAACTCAATGAACTAAAACGAGACGTTTGGAAGAGCCCCTTTGGAGGTTGTGCGCCCGAAACACTCCATGCTCCAGCTTAGCCCCCGGAAAATCACCCCGTGCAAGATGGAGAAGGACACCTGGAACTTTGAAGTTTAACGACTTCAACTCCACCTCACGGGGCTTTCGCTCTTCTTACCACAATCTCACATCGAAGCTGGCTTCATTTCATACCCTACTTAATATCCCTCACTCGAAGTGTCTGCCAGTGAAGTCCGTACAAAAGATTGAGAATCCAGGACCCAGTTGCCCGCTAGGTATCCGCCACGATGCTGGACATCTACCAAATCAACCTCGCCGGCCTACTCCTCGCCTGCGGCGTTCTCTTCGCTTCGGGAGGCCAAGACAAGTCTGATGTCTCCAAGAAAGATGCGAAGAAGAGTTCTCAACAGAAGCCAAAGCAGACAGGCTCTCAATGGGCCTTCTACGTCGTCTACGCCCTCGTAATGGGTTCAGATTGGCTACAGGTAGCTCACCTCTCACATGCATTCTCCGAGTCCAATGATGGAATCTCCTAACATAGCAACATTAGGGACCGTTCCTATACTCTCTCTACAAGAATGAGCATCAAATCTCGGCAGACTTCGTGCCAACGCTCTTCACAACCGGCTTCGTCTCCGGCGCCGTGGCCGGCTACTTCATCGGTTCACTAGCCGACCGCCACGGCCGCAAGGCCAGCTGTCTCTTCTTCTGCGCCGCATACGCGCTCTCCTGCATTCTCACCACGATACCCAGTGTCCCGTTGCTCTTCATCGGCCGCGTACTCGGTGGTCTGGGAACGAGTCTCTTGTTCAGTGTTTTTGAGAGCTGGATGGTGACGGATTTCCATGCCCGCCGTCTGAGCGACAAGGGCATGGACCTCTCGCGGACGTTCGGTCTGATGAGCACTGTCAACAGCATTGTCGCGATTGTGAGCGGTGTGGTGAGCGAATGGCTCGTCTCTGTGACTGGGACGCGCAAGTCGCCATTTTTGGCCAGTGTCGGGCTGCTGGTCGTTGCTGCTGGTGTTATTGCTAGTCAATGGGTACGTTGCAACATCAAATCGTATACTATTGCTAATTTCTTACTGACTGGGTGTGAAGGACGAGAACTATGGCTCAGCAGGTCAATCCTCTTCATCGGAAAAGTCCAACGCCAACAAGCCTAGTCTTTGGGCCACAATGACGGACAAGCGCGTTCTTACAATCGGCCTCGCCTCAACCATGTTTGAAGGTTCAATGTACCTCTTTGTAGTACTCTGGTCCCCTGTTCTCGTCTCGGCCTCATCTTCGCCCGAGACACTGCCATACGGCATCATCTTCGCCTCCTTCATGGCCTCGACCCTCCTCGCCTCTCTCCTGTACCCCCGTCTGCTCGCCCTCGTCTCCACGCCATCCCGGCTGCTGCTATCGGTCCTGTTCGCTGCCAACGCCGTATTCTTCGCTCTCGGAGCGGGTTCCCCTCGCGCGGAGCAAGTCACCTTTTGGCTCTTCTGCCTATTCGAGGCCTGCGTCGGGTTGTATTTCCCCTCGATGGGGTACCTCAAGGGTAAAGTCGTCGATGACGGTGTCAGGGCACAGGTGTACGGTGTCCTCAGAATCCCGCTCAATGTCTTTGTGGTTGTTAGCTTGATGTTCAGCAGCGATGGACAGGCGGGCAAAGTGTTTATGGTCTGTGGCATGCTGCTTCAGGCGAGTTGCGGCGCGCTGTGGCTTATGGGTGGGCAGGATGTGTAGATGGCGATTAGTTGCATTATCACCTCCATGTGGTGATCTTCTCGTCTCCAAGTAGAATTTGACTGGTCTTGACCTTAATATGAACAAGAAACTTCATGCCGTAACCCTAGTCGCCAGTCATACGTGCAAGAATATCACCACCCTCACCGACTGACGTCTACTTAAGCGCCCGTAAGACACATCCGACGCGCCTTTCGGGCCGTTAAGCACAACCTCGCTCGTTCGCCCTGGTTTTGGGTCTCGTTGTGTCAGGGCTTAGTGTTCTTGTGTTTAGGTGACCATATTTGACATGCTCTCACGTCCGACGTTCCGCAGTGCATGTGTGCACTTCGTGCTTCTCAGAACGAGCAGATGTGCCGCATACAACCCCAAGTGGGCGGAAATTTCAATGTCATCTGACAGATCATCCAGGCACAGGGATACAAAACGGCAGAGAATGTCTCAAGCCCGAACCATTTGACAGGGCTTGTTGGTGCATACTTTACTATCACCACCTCATCTAAGTACAAAATGCGCCTCACATTATTACCAAATGCCGGACCGAAAGCGGCAAGCAGAAGTACCGGCATCCCTTTCACTCACGAGAAACATTGACCTGGAAATTACGAACATATGTAAGTGTGTGCGCAAGAAAAGGCCCTCTCTTAGAAATCAAATTAGCCATCTAGTTGTCAACTGACAGAGGTCGTAGCATTGCGGGCCGACTCCGCCTGGTGCCCAGCGTCGGAAGTTGGTCCGCAGAGTCCGATGGAACGATCTCTTGGTCTTCAACTTCAAGCTTCAAACTTGGGACACGTTCCAGCGGCGTAGTTGTGCCATCCAACTGTCGAGAAGCTTATCAGTTTCACATGGCCTTGGAACTACGCGTCATATGGGATTAAGTGCGATGTTTGTACTCACCTTGTCGATGACCACTTCCAACCCATCCGCAATCCCTCCAAGAACCCCGCTTATCGAAAGACCACGCAGGCCAGCAGCGTCGATACCTCGATTCAGAGGAATCTCATCATAACTTTTCCCCTGCCTGGGCATATCCAGTAACGTCAAAGAGCCCGCCATCGAGCCTTTTAAGAAAAGCTGCACTTGGCAAGGTAAGTCCAGCTCGTTTCTCTCAACTTCGACTTTGGCGACATACTGCCTTATCGGGACCATCTTGCGCCGCCTGACCCTCATGGAAGAAGATTGCTGCTCCTGAGGACCGTAGATGCTGTTTACCGTCCTGCTGACCGCCATCTTAACGTCTCCTGGTGTCTGATCCCAGAACCTCATCGGTGCATACGTGTACCCCCAGTCACGGACGTGCGTGACCGATTCACTGGTAAGTGGACCACCGCCCGTCCCAGTAAAGGGCCACAAGGGGTACTGCGGGTTAATGGTGGTGCCGGATGGCGTGGCGAACATCTGGGATGAGGCATAGGAGAAATGCATTGTAGCATTATCGAAGTGAAGAGCTTGCCAGAAGGCAATGAGGCGATCTACATTGGCATGATGAAGCCAGCTTGGGAAACGAATCAGACCTGGCGTCGCAAGGGTGAGGCAGAACTTACAACAGTGGTTCGAATGCCGAGGTTGATAGATGGAGGAGATCCTGGCCGCAGGCGGCCCCGACATGGACTTCTCCATGAGGTCCTTCAAAGTTGGCGCCTTCATTCTGGGCAGTGACCATCTCATCGAAGGAGGTTGCCTTCAAGAAGACATTGTACTGTGGCTAATCAGTAAAGACAAGAGACTTGTAAAGCCATAAGCTTGCTCTTAGGAATTGTGTTCATCAACTTACCACCTTTTCCTTCAAGCCGTAACCCAGGAGCCTCGCGTTCGCCGTATAGGGATAGCTTTCGCCGTCTCCAACACACCGCTTCGTGTGATTCTTTCCATCAAAGCTACCGAATTTTCCATCGAGAGCTGTTTTCGGATAAGTAAAACGGTAGAACGGGTTGCGCACCGCGAGTGGCTGCAAGGCGCCGCCCACAGGCCTCTTGACGATAACATTCGGCATTGCCGTCACAGGCGGGACCTGAGAGTCCGCGGCCCAGTCCCAGAACGCAACGCGCAAACTCTCTGCAGCTTCAACGTACGCTCCTTTATGAGACTCCGGGTAAGAAAGCGCAATGCGCTTGGCGTAGCGGACCAGTACTTGCTAGAATAAGTAGTCAGTTTTCACTCGCTCAATAAGTCTTCATGTTGGGGGATCGGTCGCACGAACCTCGTAAAGCGAGAGATATCCGCGATGCCAAGTACCAAACAGTCCTTGCTTGTCGGCTCTTAGCAAGAAAGTGTAAAACAATTGCGCTGCCGGACTGTGAAGACGTACGTTATGTGGACAGTATCCAGCATCCGCCCCAGTCTGTGGTCCTCCTCCTGACCAGGCCATATACGGCTGCCCATGAATGCCTGCGACTGTCAGTAGAATGTTCTGATGATGAAGGGACTTCATGATGACAAACCAGCGACTTGAAAATACGATATGGGATCGGTTTCGTTCGCATCCTGCATAGCCGTGAGGGCTCCAACGTATAAGTCCCTAAGCGTTTGTGAGAAATATGGCGTCTATCACCAAGCTCTAGTCTTACCATTGCGGTCCGGCTTCTTCGTGTATGGTGTTGATGTTCCTCCTTATTGGCATTTCTCCAGTCCGCATATTGATACCGGATCTCACTCCAACAATAGGGTACTGTTGCGCCGAGATAGTACAAGACGCGGCCACAAGAATACCAATAACAAGTAACAAAGTCGAAATCATTGTGTGTTGAGACGGTGTACGTCGAGGCAATTTGAGGTACATAAAGGAGGTAAAGGCTTTTTTTCTCAGAAAATCGGGATATTGGCACGATTTTATCCTTTCATATTGAGCAGTCAAATTGAACCCTTCCCAGATTTCGAAGCAAACGAGAAAAGCCGTCGGATCCGATCCATGATCCCGTGCTGTCACCAACCTTGTATCATAACCCAGAATGTGGGAAACTCATCATGCTCGTGCACCTGCCGCCGCGTACCGTTGCGCGACATGGTGACGATGCCCGACAATGTTACTCTTCCTCTGCCTACCTTGAATGGAGGAGGTGGATACATGATCAGCTGGTGACGATCCTGAGTGAGCTTTCGCATCCAGGAACAACCGTAGGACTAATTTTCGATAGTATACCAAAATAGATACGGCGCGTGTTTGTATCACGACATCGTCAAAGGCCGCGCTGTGGGGGCATTCTCCTTTGGATAGTCTCTGCTCATTTGGGCAACGTTGACGATAGACCTCATCCTGAAGCAGGAAACCTCGGCCGCTCCGGGTTTTCGAATCCAGAAACGCTACGGGTAACTGCTGGCAGACCATGAGATTAGGAAAACTGTATAAAAGAGGCGGTCAGTATTGCCGTCGATGCGGTTTTGGTATCGCCATTAATACGAGCGTTATTGAGCGTCTCCTTCTGGGCGCTGATTTGTAGCCTGAACGAACCTGTGCTGGCGACAACCTCTGTCTGTATCACGAACATAACTACCAGTTTCCGTTTGCGCTATGATGCCGTCCTTCCGAGATGCAGATAGCCGGCTGGTGTCACGATGCGAAGCCACGCCGTGACCGAGTTTCCTCCTTTTTCTGCTTTTCTTCCCTTCACCGCTCTCGGAGGAACTTTACAGAAGCGCTGGATGATGGAGATGAAATGCATTGGCTGGGAAATACGATATCTTATTCCCGAGAGAGGCGACTTTTATGCTGCACGAGGTGTACGAGGCGCTCTGACGTGGCAGACATCAGGTTGTTCAGCGGTTAGGGGATAACTGTCGTCTTTGATGCATGTCTTCACATGTCCATTCATGTGCCATGGATCATGTGTTGTGGCAACTCTCCTGGGAAAAGACACAAGCATCGCGGCTCTCGACGATCACAATACACGACGTGCGAGCAATTGAAAAATCTTCATCATGTCAATAGGTTAAATAGTTAGTCAAATCTCATATTTCACAGCGCTATGCTCATGATATCAAACATTGTATGATGCGATTCCTAAGTGAACAAGTTTTTGCCTTCAGCAATACAGCTTTTCGCTCAACCGAGATACAAAATGAGGCAAACCTGTCCGTAGCAGGCTGCTAAGTGGAACGCCAATGATCATTTCAAATAAGCCTAGTTCCTGCACCAAGAGAGCCCTTTATGCAAATCCGAAAGTCCATAATCCCATCCATATTCTGATTTACTCAGAACCAAGTAAAGGCTCGTGAGTGTGTGTTTGTTCAGTTTGGAACACCAAACCAGTGCCGGAGTAGGCGTCTGGTCTATAGCGACTTCTCGAGAACAACTAATTCACGGAATCCTTCTTTCCACTTCTTCATCTGCTCGGCCGTGGGCTTCGGCAATGGGCTCCGGGCCACACCACCATAGCCTAGCCACGCCTGAAGGCCAGCTTTCACGCCCACAACACCACCTTGGATCGCTGTCCAGTCGCCTTGTGAGACGATCTCTTGCATATCCTGAGCTTCTCCGTGTCTCCCCTCTTGGAAGAGCTCAATGGTTCTGATACAAGCCTTGGGGGCGATGTTGGCCAGGCCTGCGAGGATGCCATGCCCTCCAGCCACCAAGGCCTGGATAGAGAAGTCGGCTGAACCTGCCAAGACGAGGAACTCCGGGGTCTTCGAGTTAGGATCTCTTGCCAGCTTCCTCGTAGCGGCGGCAACGCGGTTCAACTTTCCAGTGTTTCCGCATGTAAGCTTAACGCCAACAATGTTGGGATGCTGAGACAACTGCACAATGACGTCGGAGGACAGATCCATTCCTCCCACTGCGCCAGGAAAGTTGTAGATGATGAGAGGAATCGGTGATGCATCAGCCACCGCATGAAAGTACTCGAAGATGGTTTCCGATGACGGAGCAAAGAGGCCAGCGTAGTATGACGGAGGAAGCACCAAGGCATAGTCTCCACCAGCAGCCCAGGCCTCAGTACAGTATTGTATCGTCTCGCGTGTGCTCTGGCTTCCGCAGCCGACGATGATGGGCATGCGAGAGAACCCAGCGTCGTTTAGAGCTTGTCGTGTTGTTGCCGTGACGAGTTGGCGCTCGGCGTGTGAGAGATGTACTGCCTCTCCGTTGGAGCCCTGGGTGGCCAGGCCGGTCACACCCGCTTGAGCAAGTCGTACTGCATGGCGAGCAACAGTGTCGACGTCCACGTTTTCCGTACCCGGCTCGAAGAAGCACATGGTAGGTACGTACACACCGGGAACAAGCGGCCGGGTCTCCTGCAGATCAGCGCCAAGTGATGCGCTGTCGTATGAACTGCTAAGAGGAGAATTTGATTCAGCCGTAGTCAGACTTCTGATGTGTAGGTTAGAAGAAGTAGTAGGGTTGAAGGGTATTCTGTTGTAGCCGGCTGTGAAACTGCCCGCCGGCGAGGGGACATCCTGGTGAGGGGCCATGATTGTAATGGGAGATTGTGGCAGAAGTTCTTATTTCAGGTAAGACGATAGGAAGCACGACGTAGGATACACGAAGCGTGGCAGAGGTAGAAATCAGAACCGGTATGTGAGAGTAGGATGGTGAGGGTTGGACTGAATATAGTAGATGCTGTGTCGATCTTAGCTCATGGAGATCCTCGAAGTCGTTCAAGAAGCCGTGGGAGACGGAGAAAGTGGGAAGAAGGCCTTTTATTATCGGAGGGAAGGAAAAGAAGGAAGGCAATTAGGGATGATGTGACCCCCATCAAAGGGTGGCATATCAATATTAGTCCTGCAACAGACCAGTGGCGTCACAGGTTACTTCGTAATTGTGGCGGCTCGTCCGTTTCGTCAGCCAGCGTCGCCCGAGATGAAGAGAATGATACGGGCCTCTACGGATGAACCGGCTCCTGCATACGAGCGAGGCTCCTTCTCACTCTCGGACTCAACGAAAAGACGCACCATGCGGAGAGTCATGGGCAAACATGCCATTGCGAACTGGCCAGCAAGGGTCAGTCCTGGCCAAGTGAAGTAGTACGAAGAAATGCAGCAGAAAACCAGGATGTCGGAGAGACTGAAGTGTCTAGACCAGGGCTTCGCGACACAGTGCGTGGAGTCGATGGCAGGATCGCTGCTTAGCCATGCAAGAGGCGAGGCCGGCGTCTGCTAGTGAGAGAGATGGAGGTGGGATGGCTGACCCCAACCCAGATGCGTCTTCTGGGGTATTACGCCGCTTGACGTGGGGGTTAGCTTCAAAAAAGGCCCTCGATCTCCAAGTTGCCTCCTTGGACACCTGCAGAATCGAGCAGTCCAAGCCGGCATTACCATCCCGCTAAGCTTCACACCAGAGTAGTCTTGGAGGGCAGATGAATAACCTCCAGATCTAAGGGACCATTCTCCCGATAAAATCTGTGAGAAATGAGCCATGAAAGACCTTGCGACCAGCCGCAAGCAGTTCGGTTGTCATCCATGTGGCTCGGTATTCTTACGCCGGTGGGTGAAACGGCGCCCTTTTGAGTGTTGGTCTTGTTTTTACCTCGATTAAAGTCCTATCAATGAGTTGGTGTACGAGGATGACTCGGCGTTTCGGCCGACGCTCATGGCCTCAACCGATCTCAGCAGTGAATAAGTTGCGATCCGATTCGAAGAAGGAGACATTTTGCTGCATTTGCGCCGGCAATTTTTCTGTGAAAGATCTGCTTGACCTGGGTAGTCAACAACGGATCTTTAGAAAGAGGCAACCCGAGCTCTGGATAGGGATGCCGCGAGGCAATGAGGCATGCGTGTCTGCTTTAGGTGCATTAGGGAATGATGCTTGGTTGAGAAAGCCTTCAGTAAATTCCCAAGATTCGTTGGAAGAATGAGCTTTGTAGTGAGTCGCCGATTGGCATTGCTCACGTAAGCCTACAAGTGAGTGAGTGAGAGAATGATAGAGAGTGTGTGAGAAAGAAAGATTTGTTGCTGTCTCCTCCAAGTCACCTAAGCCATGAAAGCTGCCTCATCCTATTCCGAATCATCTAGGAATCATTCTGCGCCAAGAATCCCACGCGTGATATGGGGAGGCATAGCCCTTCTCCCTCAGCCATCGTTTTCTACCGAATCACATTTATATTGTCCATGCATCTCACGGATCTTTGCGCATGGATGAAAAGTAACATCGTCGCTTGTCCCCACTGACTAATTCTGGTCTGCCTCATTGAGGGCGTCAAGGACTTTCTATTCGCTGTCTTGTGGCGGAGGTCTTATGAGCCCTTGTATTATGAACAGGGTTCAAGATCAGAGAATAAACAGTTGGAGAATAATTCGGTCAATACCTCCAAGTCAACAAGTCGAATGTGTTTCATGGACACTTTTTTCCTCGGAGGGGTGGAAGTGAAGATCGAAGCACGGGGTGAGCAACCAGCATCGGACACAATACACCGCTGCAAGTCATGCACACACACGAAGGCTAGCCCATCATGCAGTCAATGGTTTTGAGATGCCTTGCTACGACATGACCATGGAACCTCGAGGTTGCAAGATGGCCCCACCGTTCAGTTTCCAGATTGGGAAACTGTCTTCGTCATGTGTTCTGAATAGTTTTCCAAGCCATCGTTTTCTCAAGCGCCCTGCAAACGTCCAAATCGAATTATGAGAGGACCAAGCGTAACGACTCATGAGTGAGAACAACCTTGCTCTCATCGGATGTTGGACGGATCGACAGACATTAGACAACACTAACCCCCACGCTAGCCAACGTGCCAGCTCCCCCGGAAAGCCAGGTGCCAACTCGTTTGAGGGGTCCCCTTGTCATGGACTATTCCCAGCTTCTCAAGGCGGTAAGGCAGCCCTCATGATTTACGACGTGCGTTCAGACGACATGTATCCGTCTTAGATTGAAACCATCTGTCGGTGGCAGTGTTTCTCTGCCTGCCTGCTTTTGGTCGCGTGCCGAGTCTTACAGGTCTTGCAGTCTCACTCTGCATCAACTTCATTCTCATCCACCACTCATTCCCACTTCTCGGGACTGTAGAAAGCGAGGTCCTGTCATCATCAGCGCATAGATGACGGTGAACCTAGTATTCTATTCTGCTTATGGATCCATATTCCTGCGTCGGCCGTCTTCCAGATGCAAGTACGGACCCCCGTGACCTTGTGGAAGAGCTGTAGCTGTGCCCGATGTCTTGGCCTTTTCCTCATGCCACCATCGACAGTGCATTTCGTCTTCTTTTTCTACAGTGTTTGTCCGCTCGTCCAGTTGCGCCGGTCAAGCGTCTGGTATCTGTCGTTAGCGCCTTCGGGAATAGTTGCAAGTGTCTGCTGACCACCAAACGTCTCCCCCTCAAGAATGGAGTAGGACTCCGCCCACATGGTGTGGCAGATGTCGTTGCCAGCAGTCTTGCTGATGTTGCAGCTGCGCCGCGCGACCTTTTCCCCTTTTCCCACCCCGAGACTCACTCACACTGCCCATCACGTCGGATAACGGCACATCGCCACCACTGGGCAGCCCCCCTCCCCAGACAGAAGACGGGCTTTCCCCGCACTTTGCTTGACAGCGATCTGATATTGTTCCCCGCGGATTACGGTCTGCTCTTCAGCCGCACGATATGCTTGCTGCCTTCATCGATGTTGTGTTTCACACCCTATGGTCTGGAATATTACGTTCTCTCCTGTCTATGATTGATGGAGAATCACGCCCGGCATTATGTCAATGGCTTCCTTCGCATTTATCTCGGCTTCGCAGGAAATCTCATGTCGTCATGTAAATCGGGCATTTGAGATGGCAACCCAATCGTATTACACAACACAAGCCCCGGCATTCAACCCTTCAACGGGTGGAATCGTGGTTTTGGCACCACATCGCCCTCACAAAGATCAGCAGCGAGCCGCCTGTGCCACGTCTGTAGGTTTGGAAATCCGGGGGCGGGACGTCATGCGGTGCGGATCCTGATATTTTGACCTTCGACGGAGCCTAACATCGCTGGCACCACTCTCGTCCGCATTTGGTCAGGTTGTGATTCTACTCGCTGGGATTATAAGGCGGGCGGAGAACGATCACTTTTACCCTCGGTTGGGTATGGATTTCCGTGTAGTCGTCAGGGGCTATTCCCATCGTTCCAGTGCAGTTGGAAGTCTTGGAAGTCTTGGAAGCCCAGGAAGACCACTCATCCTTAAGCCGCTACATGCCGCGCGAATGTTCACCTAGTGATGGGAAGAATCTCCACGTGTCTTGCAGCTATGATGGGACCAACAGTCGACCCAACCTATGGTAATGGCTCGTCGATCAAGGAGTGGTCGTCAAGATATAGCGTTGAAGAGACAAGATCTTGTTTCCTCCTTGCCCCTCTGAACCTCGTGTTGTAATAGCCAGGCTCTCTTGTTGTCTCCTCATTTCTCTTTGGTGGTATATGGATGTCTGATATACGATGCGCTTACTCTCGGCAGCTCCCACTGACTGCTTGTCAAATGCCAACGCACGATTCTATAATCAGCTTCCCGTCAAGTTCTCGGCGTTGCTGTAGTCCCAGAGATTTGGCGTGGGTCTTGTCTCTTTTCTCTTCTTCTGTCATTGTAAGTATCCCGCAACTTCAGTTATATAGCTGCGACGACGACTCCGAGATGTGTCAGGCTCATTTGAGTATTGCCGCACGACTATGTTTCACTCCTCTAGCTTTTCATAGCCCTTGGTATGATTTCTGGCTTCTACCTAGCCTGTCAAGACCATGCTTCGTACCAGGGCTTTTCGTACCACCTACAGAGGACTGTGACACCTAGGTCATATGCGGAGGACCCTGCCAGGACTCACTCATCCCACGGCTGACCGAGGGGTTGTCTCGCTGAGCCCCCACACCCCACGGCATGTCTCTGCGGGCTTGACAAGGAACGTTGACTTGACCTTCCCGAAGGAGACCAGGTGAAGCATGAGGTGCTCTAGAGCAGTCAATCCGGGCTTCTGGGACCTGGGAAAAGGATGGTGTTCTCGTTCCTGGCGGGGGCTTACCTTAGTATGTTGCTGTCGGGCAGCCGCTGGCGAGGACAAGCTGCAAGTTGGGCCATTGTGCCTGCTCGAGTACCCTATTTTGACTACACGTCTCCAGAATGACAGTTTACGAATTAAACAGGCACTGTGTCTCAGTCAAGGATGTCGGTGTTTGCCTTTCAAGGTTGAAGCATCATTCTTCACTTGAATCTCACGATAAGAGAGTTATTGTACCACCAGATTGGCCACTATGGCACGGAATTCAATGACTTGGAAGTTCTTTTTCATTATGAGCCAACTAACCAATAGAATTTGGGCACAATATCATAGCACTTACTGCGTCATTATTGAGATATCCAAGATTCTGAGGCCACTATCCACAACTTGCAATGTACCCACCTCCTCCCATAATGAAGTAGTCACTGATGTCACGAGGAGTCTATGTCTTGAGGGACTTGAAATAACAAAATCAGGGGCGTAGTCTCCCTTTTACTGGAATGGCTCAAAGAGTGGGTTAGCAGATGGCATGTAAGACCAAAGAACGCTCAACCGAACTATTAACCCTAGCAACGTTTCGTCATTAGATCCATCCTCTACAACCAGTACAATAAACAAGCGAAAGCCGTATTCATGTCTTTCCTACTCGGCTTTCCAATCCTCCGTATACATCCGCCCATCCGCCCTAATCTTCCCAATAACAGGCTCCAACAGCAAAGGCAATACCTCGGCCGCGTCCCTCCCGAACGCAAAGTCCCCCTTCTTCACCTTGCCCATCTGGCCCTCGTCTTCGGCCTCGGGGTTGACGGTACACACCCGCGCCCCGGCCGCGTGCGCCTTGAGAATGTACCCCGCGGCCGGCCACACCTGCGCCGACGTGCCGACGACGATCATGAGGTCGACTTTCCCTTGCTCGATCCAGGCGTCGACGCCGTCGAGCATGGCCTCGTCAAGGGCCTCGCCGAACCAGACGACGCCGGGCCTCAGCAGGCCCGTCTTGCAGGATGGGCAGTGGGGCAGGTCTGCTTCGTCGATCGCGGGGAGCTTTTTGGTGGGGTCGAGGAGTGGCAGAGTCTTTGTTGGGTCTGCGAGGTCTTCAGAGGCCGGGGCAAGGGCTGGGCAGAGGGGGTCTTGGGTGTTATTGTGGTCGATGTAGGTGCATTGCGGGTTGGCGCATTTGATATCAAAAAGGCTTCCGTGGAGGAGGCGGAGTTGGTCCTCCTTATGTCCTGCCCGTGGCGAGAGGCCTGATGACAACATTTAGCTTTCTTTTGATTCTTTGCAGGGGAACATTTGGGAGTCGTTCTCACCGTCAACATTCTGCGTCAGGCATAAGAAATCCGGATTCTTCTCCGCCAGCGCGGCGAGGGCATAGTGCGCCTTGTTCGGCTTCGCTGATACAGCCATGTGTCGCCGGTACGCGTAGAACAGCCACACCAGGCCCGGGTCCCGGCGGAAGGCTTTCATAGTCGCTAGGTCCGTAGCGTCGTGGTTTCGCCAGAGTCCTCCGGCGCCGCGGAAGGTCGGCAGGCCGGAGGAGGCGGAGAGGCCGGCGCCGCAGAGAGCGAGGATACGCTTGCTTGAAGCCAGTGCCTCGTGGAATGCGGCGACGTCGTTGTGGGGGGCCATGGCTTTGAAGGAGATTGGACGGCGAAGGGCTTTATTGGGGAGTAATTAGTGAGGTGTATCTGAATGCTTTGAACGGATGCTACGAACTAGTTGGTTTTAGGCTTGAGGATGTAGATAGCCTCCTGAGAGTCAAGTTGATATGACTGAGTCCCGTGAGATGTTTTCTCGTCATGCTGTCTGGGGGCAGCTTGTATCGCGGTGTGTTTAGGCAACCTACCTACTTAATCGTAGGGGCGTTCGCCATTAGGCACCGAGGCCAAGCAAGAGGATAAGCAAGAGCAGCAGGGGCATATATTCATCCAATCATTGAAACAAACAGTCTGGAGACTGTAAATCCAATGGCGTCGCTGTTGGGAAAAGTCCGTCTGACTTGATCGGAGAGATGTGAATGCTCCGAGTTGAAATGAGATGGTCGTTGTTGGGGGACCATGTACCTTCTCCACATGCCAGGATGTAAGGTGACTCCTTCACCGAGACGGAGTGACATCATTCGTAGCCACACCGAATCTTTAGCACCAGGAAGTCTCAATTTCTTTCAGAAATATTTACGAAAGGCTACTTTTAACGGAGCTAATCGAGGAGGCCTTCTAAATTTCCGAGTTTCCAGTGAATGCCTTTTGGACAAGAATGATTTTGTAAGTAGAGAAATCATGAACGAGAGTAAACCAGATCATAAGAAAATCGAAGCTTTTAGCTTCTGAGTTGAGATTTTGTCTATCTCTCTATGTCTATAATGTAACCAATCGCTATGCCCTTTCTATGCACCCAAGTCATGTCATCAACCTCATCTTATGTACAGCATCCCCAGAAAACGGTTCGATCATGTTTTGAAAACACACAATCTCCTCCCGCTTAGTTCTCGAGGACGTAGCGGTAGCGGGCCTTGCCCTCCTCCAAGTCGACGATGGCCTGGTTGGCCTCGCTCATGGGGCGGACCTGGATCCAGGGCTTGACGCCCTTCTCGGCGGCAAGCTCCCACATCTCGCGGATCTCGTGGGGGGATCCGATCAGGGAGCCGGTGAACTTGACGCGGCGCATGACCATGGGGACGGGGGAGATGGTGTAGGCGCCGTCGTCGGGGAGACCGACCTGGACGAGGGAGCCGTCGAGCTTGACGAGGTTGAGGAAGTCCTGCATGGGGACCTTGGCGGAGGAGACGGTGGAGATGACAATGTCAAAGGAGTTGGCGTAGGTCTTGGCCCAGTCGGGCTCCTCGCTGGTGGCGATGTAGCCGTCGGCGCCCATCTTGAGGACCTCGTCGCGCTTGTCGCCCTTGCGGGAGATGCCGACGACCTTGTCGGCGCCCATGGCCTTGGCGAGCATGATGGCCATGTGGCCGAGGCCGCCGACGCCGTTGATGGCGACGGTCTTGCCGGGGCCGGCGCCGTGCTGCTTAAGCGGGGAGAAGACGGTCACACCACCGCACAGCATGGGCGCGGCGTAGGCGGACTCGAGACCGTCGGGGATCTTGACGACGAAGTGGGAGGGGCAGCGGTGGTACTTTGAGTGGCCGCCCATGGCCTTGCCGCCGTTGTAGTGGAAGTGGCCGTAGGTGTGGACGGACTTGGGGCAGTACTGCTCGTTCTTGGTCTCGCAGGGCTCGCAGGGGCCCTGGCGGCCGAGGCAGGAGTCGGACTGGGCGCCGACACCGACGCGGTCGCCGACCTTGATGCCGCCGACGGCCTTGGAGCCGACGCGGACGGCGACACCGACGATCTCGTGGCCGACGCAGACGGGGTAGGGGGCGGGGCCCCAGCCGGAGCGCAGGACGTGGATGTCGGAGCCGCAGACACCGGAGTGGGTGATCTGGATGTCGACGTCGTTCTCCTCCCACGGCTTGGGCTCGTACTCCTGCCAGACCATGTTGCCCTCGGAGGACTTCTCGTCGAGGCCAACCCAGCCCTCAAACTTGTAGTCGGTAGCGGCCATTGTGATTTATGTGTGTGGTGTGAAAAAATAGGAAGAAGGGGTATCTGGAGAAAGGTTGTTTCTTGTTTTGTTATAAAAGAAATGATCTTATATATAAGAGAACAGGAAGCTTGTGAGTACAGAGTAGAATGATATCGTCGGAAGGCGGGAACGACACGCCTCTTTTAAACCTTTAGCTCCCCATCGTGCAAACCAACTTAAGTCCTAAACTCGTCGGCGAAAGAGGGGACTAACGCCGCCGGTCGTCCAAGGAACCATGAAGCTGGAAAGCCTGGATAACGAATTTTGCGCAAAAAAACACACAGCAAGTACTACGTGTTAGAGGGCAGAGGAGAAAAAACTGCAACGTGGGTGGAGTCAAACAGCGGGAACGAACTGGGAATAGATTGGAAACTAGATGGGCCTAAGTGCGGCTCAGTGCCGCGGTTCGAGATCAATGGAGCAAGGACCAAGGGGAATGAGAAGAAGGCCCCCCGTTGACTGAGACTCTGTTGATGCAGGAAAGGACCAGAGGCTGAGAGGCGCAGAGACGCAGAAACGCCGTTTGAACAATTTGGAAGGGGGGTGGAACCGTGGTGGTGCGGAACCTTTCCAGCACGGAACGTCAAAGAAGGTCGATATGCGTCGTCATGATTCGCCGGGCCGATATGGGGGCCTGGGCCAGCCGAGGTGGGTAACTCTGGAAATCTGGCTTAGAAATCTTGGAGGTTGTTGTGCTTTTGCCTTCTATCTGCGCGGATACACATTACACTATCAAGAATCACCGGGGGACCCTGGCCATGGATGCTTGGATTGGACGGTATTGAATGACGGCAACAGAGCCAACGGCTTCTCTCTTTATCTGCATCTCCGTCTAGATCCTGTATCTCTCGCTCTCTAGATGGCGGTTGAGCTTTACCCGGCACGTCCTTACTCCTCACAGCTCGAGATGTTGCTGTTCAAGAAGGGTGGGGGTTCGGGCTCTTCTTCTCCGCTGTTCAAAACTTCAACATGTCGATACACGAAGAGCTAGAGACGTGCAAATGCGGCGGCTAGATTGGGAGCTACCCCTTCAAAGAACGAATGGATAACGAAGAAAGGCGTGTGTCCACTATCCAGCAGTGAGCGCAGGGATTCTTTTGGCCGCCGTTCCCGAGTAAAGGTTGTGTTTTGATGTCATCGACTCCAGTATTCTCCGGCACTTGGGTAGCTTCACACCGCAACTGAGGGGCGGGACTGAGAAGAGAGCGACATAAAAAATTGGAGTCCAGGTCCCTCTGGTGTTTGAGACAACTCTGAAAGGGGATTTGCACAAAAAGGCTTTTCTGGGTTTTCTTCACCATGTTTTCCAGTCAAGTCCATTCCGGGTCGATCATCCCCTGTTTCCAAGGCCACTGGGGAAAACCAACTTGGCAGCCAACACGATTGAATGAATCATTCAGCCTCATATCATTGATCTCATTGATGACTGAGCTCCAGTTTGGGATTTGAAAAGATTTTGTGGCCCCCTTCGAAAGCCTTGCCCTTACGTCAACTGCGGATTCTTCCCGTTGGGGCGGCGGTTGACCGGCCTTCGCCGTTCTCGGTTTGCTTCTGTCAAAGCTTCTAGAAAACGTGCATCTTTTATGGAGAAATCACGGAGTCTGCCGCGCAGGGGCCATCGGCACGTCACCGATGACCCGCCCGCTGCCGCGGTTCAGTCCAACTTTGTTGCTGCTGTTGTTGTTGTGTGTATCGATCTTCAAGTTTCCCCTTATCTTTGCCCAGGAGGATATTGATCATCCGACGATGAGGTAGCTCGGAATTCTGAATGCCAATCTTTCTACTACCGCCACGCTAGTTGGCTGTCATTGTAAAGATAAGATGGTAGCTGAAAGTCTGACAACTACCGGTGCGAAGACGGAGAGTTTTACCTCACCGACAAGATACCGGTAGAATCTGCCCCGTCACTAGACATGCCGTGAACGTGGCCCGGCAAGGGTTCCTTCCGGGTCACGGAATTACAGAGGCCATCGTACTCCGTATCCGTACAGCTGGCAGGGCCGCAGGATGGAACTCTGCTTAGTACGCAGCCGGACTTATCTCGTAGACTTCTATTCCCCAAAAAGACCTCAAGACACACATGTGGAAACAATTTGACTCCGATTTCATGCATCCTGCGCAAGGCTGCAACACACCGTACCTTTGGCCATGTCTTTTCATAGCAGTCCCCCTTTTTGATTTGATTATCTTGTGTTCCGCCCTTGCCGCTTCATGCATGCCCGTCTACCAAGGCGACCACCGGGATCCCACTGCACCTCTCCTGTCACTTTGAGTCCCCAACTATTCATACAATCCCCGGGCCAGATCCAAAGTTTCAGGAATCGAATGATTGTACAAACGACGATGCAGATGCCCGAAAAGCCCCCCTATCTCCGAGCCGCTGCCAGATCCCGCGTCTCCCGTTCGGGGAGATACCGAAGCGAAGCAGGGTACTGTACGAGATACTTTATCCCGAGTTCTAGATGGATGCGGGCGCTGTGGGGTTGTGTTCGTTCCCTGGGGATGGTGGTTTTGATGGTGAGGGTTTATTCAATCACCGCATATCCACGCCATGCGGAATGTCGGAACCTGCTCGGAATCACCCCCCAGGGTCTCCGTCCGCGCCTGGTAAGAACCGATTGCCATCTTTGCTTCTTACTTAGACGATCGTTTTCATCTTTTGGGATAACAGACATGTTCAACTCAGAATAGCACAGTCGTGAGGTAAGACACGCGAAAGTATGTGCTTGAAATAATTACGAAAACCACGTGGGACTCCCACCTTGCCACAATTCGCCGGTGATTGTTATGCGCGTCTCAAACCCGTCAGAAGGGGACCGGCGCCGCGATCGTCGGTGGTGACGTCCGCGCCGACAATTGCTTGATTTTCTAGTAGCAGCAGCCATGCGAGATCCGCATGGCAGAGACCGATCGGCGCGGCAGGTCCGAAATCCCACGCCCGAAGACCAAGAGAAGGGCCCCGCGAGCAAGTTCTTTTTGCCACCGAAACCCGATGAGCCGGCTACAGGCTACATCTCGCCTCCAACGGCAGACCGGTGCTAGCCAAGCCCGATATCGACATCATTGTGCGCCGTACCTGCATATGTCAGAAAAGCCTGCGTGCTGCTGTGCCCACGGTTTTAGTTCATGCACACACACATGCCTTACCCCAATCGAAACGGTACCGGCTCGGAGACGAACTGCTTCACAACGCCGGCCGACTTTGAGACTCCGGGAGCAGGAACGGAGAAAGGGGCCGCCGGTTGAGCCCGGGTGGGTGCCTTCCGTTGCCGAAGGGCAGAAAGCCACCCAAGCCTCCGACCGGGAGGCACCAACGGGGCCTTGCACGCTCAGTCTTTCCTTTCGTCCTTTCACAGTGCCGTCTTCACCAAGCCTGGCAGGCCAGGTTTCATGACAACCAGCTGCCGATGCCGTCTTGGAATGAGTTGAGCACTGTCTCGCTTCGGTACGTCTTGTTCACAATCCTCTTCATAATTTCAGTACCTCGAGGGCAATCGAATCGGGATAGAAGGGGAAGTGGAAAAGTCAGACCCTTAGCTGAGGCAGGCAGGCACCCAGATACATATGTACCGACCTGGGAAGCGCATTGCCCAGTCACCAAAAGTACTACTAGGTACGAAAATGCACCATTAAGGGAAGCTACCCACGATAGCTTCGCCTTTGGTTTTCCCTGGAGAAATAGTCGCACCTTTGGTCTCTACGTAGTATGAGGGTCTCGACCTTCGACCTTCGCCCCGGGCATCTTCCGCTCCCTCGCCCGTCGGGTCAACCGTCGCCGTACCTCCCCCAGTTCAATATTGCACGAAACCCCGGGCCGCTTTCCGCCTCTTCTCGCCGAGTCCATCAGAAAATTTGCCAATACACGTATGGAGTAACAAGGGCCCTGGAGCAAATCATCGCCTGTCACCGTAAACCCCTTTCCCCCTCCGGCCCGGACAAAACGGAACTTTTGTTTTGATTGGGCGGTTCGGACGGCACGGTCCTCCAGGCCTGAGGAGTGGTAGGCATGCCATACAGGAACGGATACAGCAAAGGTCATCCATCAAACCGTGCCATACGACTCCGTACGATGATATTGGTATCGAAGTCGTAAGTAATGACTAGCTTCCTGCTCAAAAAGCCCGACGATTCATAATTGCGCCCCATTGCGATGGTGTCTATACACAACAGACACAACAACAAGCGGTGGACGGAAGAAGAAAAGATCATAACATGGCCTCCCGGGCGCATCAGGATACCTTACGGATCTAACAATTCCCGCAGGACTTCAATTGGGAAAATGCCACTGAAACCGGGCGAGCAGCCAAGCAAAAACATCATTGGCAAAATCGAGACAGTTGTGCCGCAGGGCGATGCGCAATAACATTAAACGCCAGGCTCAAGAGACGATCGCCTACCAAGATCCTTGGGCCCAAGCAAGTTTGATTAACAAGACTTGGGCGAGTCTCACGCACCTGAATCCTTCGACGCTGCTGCGCGGTACTTATCCCATTTCCTTTCATCCCATCCTCCTCAAAAATGAAAACAAAATCCTTTCCCCGGCTCCAACGGTGCCCGTCACGCTAGAAGCACATCAGAGACGCGCAGAGGCATTTTAGGCTACCCGTGCGGCACCGGACGGCGCCCAGGCACACACTGCCACACTTTCTAGTACCTTATTACAGGACAAGCCGTGTGTGCTGACCTCTCTCTCGAAATCTCCTTGCTTGGGTCTTACTTGGTGAGGGCGGCGACGGTGCACAGGTGGAAATTAGGTACCGAATAAGGTAGAGCGCGGCAATGAATCCGATGTCTGGGATCCATCCTTCCCCGGCCCCCCTCTCCTCTTTGAGTCAAAATTCTTATTCAGGTGGGGGACCCTGCTAGGGTCGCTCAACTTCAAACACGGCGAGATTGCAACCGCGGTGTTTTTTTGACTTGGTTGCTCTATTCGCGCTACCAAGGCACCTACGTTCGACGATGTTCATGCGAGCCTAAGCTTATTGCGTAAGTTTTGATGATGTGAGAATCACGTAAATCAAAAGGCACCGGTAAAAGTGTTCAAATCTGAATGTTTTTGATTGTCAACGTTTTGTCTGTCTCGACTACCTCGGCGAAATGGCACAAGGCGTCCTCTTCAACTCTTCTCTAAAGGTATCATAGTCCATCTTCCACAAACACTACCCAGCTGCTTCAAGAAAAAAAGGCATCCGCCATCTGAAATGCAATTCCCATTGTTCGACTTCCCTCCTCTCGCATGAAACATTGGCAAGGCCGTCGCAGAAAAGCTTCCTCCAATGCTTGGAGACAGAATTCCGCGGGAGCGTGATCATTAAAAGTACCAGATTATGTCGCAAGGTATGGCCCCAACTGCGCGCTAGGTCCATGAAGGAACATGCGTAACTCAGTCGTGATAAGGATCGTGATCGAAAGTGAAGAAGTTGTACAATCCG